TAAATGTACTTAAGCTGCACATAGTCCAGAACAGCTGATGTATAGGGCTCAGACTTGGAGGCTTATACATCAGCTGTTCTGGACTATGTGCATTTCTGTACTGATGCATCTGACACATCTGATCTGACCTAGTCTCTGAACACATCCTATTTGGTGAAGAAAGCCCAGCAAAGGCTTTTCTTCCTCAGGAAGCTGAAACACGCTGGTCTCTCCTGTCAGCTGCTCGCAAACTTCTATAGAGCAACAGTAGAGAGCATCCTCTGTCTCAGTGCGACAGTGTGGTACGGGAGCTGCACTGCACAGGACAGAAAAGACTTGACCAGGGTGGTGAGAACAGCTCAGGGCATTGTAGAGAGTCCTCTTCTGGATCTGGACTTGCTAATTGTAAGATTTGAGTCTTATAGACTCTAGTTACTTTATAAGCTTTAGTTACTTCTCATACCTTTAGTTCCCTTTAGTTACTTTTCATAACTCTAGTTTCCTTTAGTTACTTTTCATAACTTTATTTTCCTTGTCTATACATATTACAGCTATTGATGATTGTCCAGAACTACTGAGCTTTGGTTACTTTTAAATACATTTATTTTCCTTGCTTATACAGTGGGGCAAATAAGTATTTGATACACTGCCGATTTTTCAAGTTTTCCCACTTACAAAGAATGGACAGTTCTGTAATTTTCATCGTAGGTACACCTCAACTGTGAGAGATAGAATCTAAAAAAAAAAAAATCCAGAAAATCACATTATTAGATTTTTAAATAATTTATTTCCATTTTATTGCATGAAATAAATATCTGATCACCTACCAACCAGCAAAAATTCTGGCTCTCACAGACCTGTTAGTTTGTCTTTAATACTGCTTATTTTGTTATACTAGCCTTATGTTGGTTAACTGTTTACTTGGCCCTTGCATGGGGATATGTACATGCACATTGAGAGCCGATGTACCAGAGTCAAATTCCTTGTGTGACCGACACACCTGGCCAATAAAGCAGATTCTGATTCTGACTAGCAGGCAGTAATGGATGCCCATTACTTGTAAAGATTGGTGTAATGCTGTATGCCACCACTAAAGGGCAGCCTTACTGTGTGCTGAGGAGAAGGAACAGGAAAAAGAAAAGTTACAAGACATGTTTTAGGCAAAACTGTGGCGTTATTCCTACCATTTATTTTTTTAAATAAAATCTAAAACCACTAATATTTAGTATGAATAAAGAGGGGTTTCAAATAAATACTCTACAGAAATAAATGTAAGAATTTACATTTTTCAGCTGCTTTAGCAAGTCTAGCAGCGCAGCTTATCACACGTTGTCATATGTAGTTTATATCTAAGGAATCAGAACCGAGCGATGTATCCATCCCTTTATTTTTAGTCAACATAGGATAGTACTGAATGTTAGGACCAGTTTACTTTTACCAGTAATGGGCATCCATTACTGCCTGCTAGTCAGAATCAGAATCTGCTTTATTGGCCAGGTGTGTCGGTCACACAAGGAATTTGACTCTGGTACATCGGCTCTCAATGTGCATGTACATATCCCCATGCAAGGGCCAAGTAAACGCTGACAAACGCAAAATATACTTTTTAAAAGCTGTTTATTCTGCAAGTCGTTTTACAACAAACCATACACCTGCATCAATCTCATCTGCTGCTGTCTGCATTCCCATGGCACTTTTGCATTTAGTATTTTTCCTGCTCCATCACAGGTTGATTCTCCAACTAATGATGAACACAGCACAAGAATGCATTGCAGAAAAATGGGCAGTAAATCAAGAGGTGTGGAAATTTTCAACTTCTACACAGTGACTTTAAGTTTGTGTCTTCCTGCTCAAAACCTTCTGAAAGATGGGATCAGGTGCTCACTGTAGCGCATCATCGTGCGTGTCACCTCCTTCCCAGTGTACATGCCTCTGTAACTGGGCTCTGTAGAAAACAAGGGGAATATAGTGTACAGACATAAATAGATATACACAGGAAATGACTGAGATGTACAAACCACAGCTCAGGCTGACTGTAGATATTTGCTCAGCCTTTGATTTTGACTCACTTTTAAGATAAACACACTGGGCATCACCTGCTATCATGATCTCCAGCTCAGCCAAGGAGAGGTCTGTTGGCTCTGTCAGGAACATGTTGACATCTCCCACCATGCACTGCTCCTCTTCTATACTGGGATCTGCCCATCGCTGCTTATCCAAGATGATGAATGTGCACTCTGGCAAAAAGTTAAAAAGTCAAATTAAGCAGCGTTTCTTTAAGTAAAAGTTGAATGATTTTACCAATGCATGACCTCAGAAATGTCTTATTTTCATATCAAATCCAATGTTAAAATTTGCTACTCTAACTTTGAATAAGTTAACAAAAGTAAAAGAAGTTCTCTCACATTTATCTTTCCAGACACTGCTGAATCGTTCAACCAAAGATTTTTTTTGCTCTCTGTTTTATTCAGGTATTTTTCAGAGAAATCAAGGTGTCCAGTTATTCACATGAAAAAATCTAAGGCTAAAGGCTAAGTCTGGCAAGCCTTCAGATTTATAACAACTGCTTTAGAGGATGAATAAGAGCATGTTCTGTGTGTACATTTACTACAGAAGAAGTCTTACTGTCATCATCTTCCCTCCAGCTCCCCTGCATGTCGTACCCCTGTTTCAGGGTCATTGTCTCTGAGGCGCTCAGATGCTGCAGTTCAGGATGCTTCATCCATTCATGATACCTGAATTGTGGAAACAGGTGGATATGAGACAGGGACTGCAGGTTTCTACAGCTTTAACTTAATCATATATCCAGATGCCAAAGGACTGGAGCTGGTTCTGCTGTGCCAGTTAAAGAGACTTCAGACTGTCAAAGGTTTGTAGTGACAGCTGGGTCAGATGTGTCATCTGCCCTAAGTTACTTCTTCACCTTGTGCCAGCATGGACAAAAGGTTTTCAAATGCTCCATGACAAATGAGACTGTATGATACGATCAAAAGCTCCAGAAAAGCTAGGCTGCCTTTTATTATTCCCTTTCTCACCTGGAAAATAGAGACTCCTAAATCAGGATACTCTTCACTGACTACAGCTCCGCCTTCAACACAGTTATGCCCCACAAACTCATCCACAAACTGTCCACACAGAGTCTCCACCCCACCCTCTGTGACTGGATCCTTTCTGACTGGCAGGCCCCAGTCTGTCTGGATTGGTAATAGGACTTCATCATCCTATGATCACAACAAACACTGGAACCCCACAGGGATGTGTCCTCAGCCCCATCCTCTACCCCCTTTTACCCATGACCGTGTTGCCTCCTACAAGGACAACATTATCCTTAAGTTCGTGGACGACACCGCA